CGAATAATTACTACTGTTTTGACTAATTGAATTTTGTTCAATGATAAAATATGAGTGTTCAACTTTAACCTATAAAAATTATTGGTTAAGTTACAAGTTTAGTCTATAAAACGTCGGTTAATTCCGGAAACTATAAAATGTAAAATGTTCAAGTACTTYGAAYGCAAAATTGAAACTTTAGAGACATATACTAAATTGAGAGTTTAAAGGCCGTTAGACAAATTTAAAAGCTAAAAAATCTATTAGACACAAATTTAAAAGTTCAAATCGTGGAATTCAGGTTGTGGCTGGTGACGTGGCACTTGGGGCTGTTCATAACACTTACATTTGGACAAATTGGGTTCAAGGGAAGGACCGAAGACTACTTTTCAAAGTGAAAAAAATGTAATAATTTCTTAAGAAAAGGGGAATTGAATTCCACTTTCTATTCTTCTATGTTTGTAAAGTAGAGCTTAGCTTATGGCTAATGGCTAATGGCTAATGGCTAATGGCTTATGCTTCTCTCCAGTGTACAATCGTTCCAACTTGTGTCCATTAAAGAAAGTGGAGGCAGATTTTCCTTCCTCAACCTTCACTGATCTAATTCGACTCGACCCAACCCGATTTAAAATTGACGTTTTCATATTTTGCATCTGAAAATAAATTACAATTATCTTTTAAAACTTATGAAATCGTCGCAATTATATCCTATATAGGTTAGCGATAGAGTTTAATTATAATAGTGTCATGAGTTTTGAGGCATAGTTATTCTACTTGGAAATATAAAGTGTAGCTAACTCATAGTTCATTTGTTTGCGAAAATATATACCTTATAGTTACTATCACATTGACTCGGACTTTGATAGCATGACTTACTTTGTTTCAACATCTTTTTAGGTTAGATCATACTATACCATCATTCTTTTATCTTGAAGAAATCTTTTTGGCTCATGTAAGAGCTCAACTTGAGAAAAGTAATTTGTGTGGTTGAAAAACTCCCAATATAACCATAAATGTACGATCACCCTACTTTCTCTAATTATATAAACAAAACTTATTATCCGTGTCAACTTAGAAACTCCCTTTTGACCTTTATGTCAATCCGTACACGTTCCATGTGACTTGAACCCAAGACCTCAAATAAACTACCCAAAATACCCTTTGGGGACATGTCAACGTAATTATTTTTAAGTATATCACACTTGGAATATATCATCAAATACCTTTTCATAGTAAATATTATAGTTATTTTTTTTCATAACTTGGGGAGGAAAAGGAGTAATTACTCAAATTAAAAACTGTAGAGTATGATTTCATCAACCTCTATGAGTAATTTTCCCATTTTTCCTAATAAACCTACAAAGATGTATGCAGTCACAATAAATAGTATAATGATGGTTTTTTTCTTTTCCTTTTCATTTTGTTTTTATTATTTTGAGTTTTTAAAGTTATCAACCATGAGTGAAGTGGAGATTAAAATCTGCAAGGTTACTTTATAGATGTACTATACTCAATAGATGTACTATACTCAGGTTGACGAGAGAGTAAAATTAAAGCATACAATTTTGAATAGTATTGATGATGGAAAGCCTATTAGAAAGGTTTAATGAAGAGAAATTTAACCTTAATATAAATGAGAAAATTAAGAAGGCACTTCTATTGCAGTTTTAGAAAGAGCGAGCAGCTACATGCCACTTTCCAATTCTGTTTATATCTTCATAATTGCTATCTCACGAGACAATCGTCTGACTTTACCATATTTAGTTGTTAAAGTAACTCGTAGAATCTTAAATTCTAAGTAGGTAACCATCTTGAACTTATTTCTTCTAAACCCTTTACTATAATTGTTCTAGCATGTTGTCGCATTGGTTCCAATAATAAAATGAATTTCGCTAAACCGAGCATAACTCAAATGGTTAAGGCACCTATCTCTGACCAAAAGGTCATGAGTTCGAACCCCCACTCCCATGTACTAAAAGAAAAAAATAATAAAATGAATTTCTCAAACATGCAAGATTTTATTAAGACTAAGATTGACTAACAAAAGAGTCCATTAAAACTCCGATGGTGTCAACAGCAAATTGAAGATTATTGAACCGATCCTTGGCCCTTTCCGATATGAAAACCTTCAATTAACCTCTAGACACCAATATTAAAATCTTGATCTACCTAAATCCAACATCATGAATCAATCTAGGCCAGTAAAGAGTAAATTAACAGAAGATGATATTTAAACCAACGATGAGAAATTCGTACAGAATTATGGTACATATGGTTTTGAATGATTAGGAGACAATACAACAGGAACAGCACATGAATGCTGTATGAAACTAAATTGAAGCATTTGACAAGAGAACATACTACTTTTTACAAGAATCTTCAATTTTGGCAGATGTAGATGTGAAAGTAACTGGGGTTGTAGGATGGTCCTTCACAGTCAAGCTAAGCACCTCAGGCCTTGCATAATGACCAACCACATCGAAATCAAATTTCGCCCGCACTATTTCTCCAAGATCTGTTTATCATTCATTCTTATCAAAATTAGTGTTCGACTTAGAACGCAAGTCATGACAAAAACTATCCATAATCACCAGATTGAAGAGGGAGATAGTCGATAACAAAATATGCTCAAAAAGTTAAAACTTGTTAGGAATTGGGATGGATCAATAGTAATTCCTACTGCACCCTGCTAAAGAACAGGATTCCTACAGTTTCAAATTACATATTTTTAACCCTGAGATAACCTCTATGATCCTTTTGTAGGAGTGGCATGCGGAGATATATTTTACTGGCTAGCAAATACTCAGTTTAAGGAATTGGCAAGGATGTTAAAGGAAAACAAATCAATACATTTTTTACTAGTGAAAAGTCCTCTGTTTTCTATGATTTTCGGCTGCAGAAGGAAACAAATTTTTGAAATAGCGGACCCTCTTTACTCCATTTCGGTATAGCACACGTTGTGGGCTCCATTACAGAATGACACATCATAGAAGCTTATTTAAAGAGTGCAACTATTTTTATCTAGGTGGCTAATCCGAACAGTTAACACTATCTGAAATAATTTGGAATTTGGGTCACCTCTCTCACTGTCATTTGCAGATAATACTATCGTCTTTTGCTTGGGAGATTTGATTATGTGTCCAGTCCACAGTCCTCCATTCTTGACAGAAAATGTCTGGCTTGAAGACCAATCTCTTATTAAAAGTTTAGTAGCTGGTATTGGTGGCCTTTCTTAGAATGGTTAGTCAACTCATCCAAACTTTCTCGCTTCGTTTCCTAGTGGAAAGATCAATTTGTACAAGGGAGGCCAGGCCATTCACTATGGTCGAAGCTAAAAGAGATGAAGCATAGAATAAGAGCTTGGAATGGAGGTTTTTGGACTCATTGACTATCAGAATCATTGGATTATCCAAGAGTTGACTTCCAGGACTCCCTCGAAGAAGAAAGAGACTTGAGTCAAATAGAAGGTTTTCTAAAGATTAAACATTTCTATATGAATCACTAAACATGAAATTATATACTAGCTTTGACAATTATAAGCAAGGACGTCTTGACATACCTAGATCTGCCGAGATAAGTGCCTCTCCATCGTAATTGGGTCCAGCTAGGATTGTCCCTGATGGTGATATGATGACACTACCCCCAGCACAAACAACAGAATCTGGGGTGAGGTCCTCTTCTATGCCATAAAAGACATATTCTGGTGGAGGTGGGTAGTCTTTTCTTCGGCAGAACTGATTGGCTGACAAAACAAAACATCCACCCTCCAAAGCAATGTGGGCCATCGATGCTTGCCATGTATCCCGAGAATCAGCAGTAGGTGCACAATATATTTCAACGCCTACATACATGAACGTAAATATAAGTCGATTTCTAGACATCAACTTTTGTTAAGCAAAAGAAAAAGAATGCATAAACTGAACTGATGCAACTTTCAAGAAATTGAGAAAATTCTATCTTTTAGGTACTACAGAACTTAATAGTTAATACAAATGAAAATATTGTGTGATACGAAAAATTGCATCTGATTTAAGTGAAAAGTACTTTTTAACTTGATGTAGTTGAAACAAAAGCATAAAATAAAAGAGCTGTATATAATATCATTAACCAAACACATTCTGAGAATGGAAGTGCAAAATAGACCACTGTCGGTAAAATAGTCTGCAATGGACCAGAGAAACAAAATTATTCCAAACCTATAAGGATACAGGTTTATACTGATCCAGAAATTAACATTGCAGTCTAACGGCATTCATGGGCTAATCCCCGACTCTGGTGTTTGACCATCATTCTAGTGTTTCATAAAAACTTGAGCCTCTTTAATAATTTTTATTTTAGGGCTACGTTTGGTAGCCCATTGTCAATATTTTTGCACTTCTATCTATCTTAAGTTTAGTGAGCAGTTTCCAGTCCAATGAAAAAAAAAATGAAAATATGCAATTAGGTCTGGACTTTTGTAATTCCCAGCAAAAAAAACTAACCTTTGGCATACATAGCTGTTCTCAGGAGTGGCATTCTGTTTTCCCAGCAAATGGCAGCACCAATTTTTCCAATTGAAGTCTCAAAAACAGGAATTGTTGATCCATCACCAAATCCCCAGATTATACGTTCTAATCCGGTTGGCATCAGTTTCCTGTGCTTACCAAGGTAACGACCTTGAGGATCAAAAAATAGAACAGTACAGTACAGTGTGTAACCATCTCTCTCTATCACCCCCATTACCAAATATACTCGGTACTTTCCAGCCATTGCTGCCAATCGATCAACTTCAGGACCTGCATTGTATCCCCATCCATTGTTACCACAAAAAACTTCAAAACACACCTAAACAGCACCTAAGACAGAAACTGGCTATAGCTTCCAAAACTTCAAAATATTGTATTCTTGATGTAAGCAAACGTATGAAAGGTTTTGAAAATACTGAAACTAAGAAATGCCAATAGATTCTTGAAGCAATCTTAACAAATGTTTCTCATTCATTAGTTGTGAATTGCAGGAGTCACTTAAACAGGGCTACTGTCCCATTTCGCATTTCATGAACAACAGACTTGTTGTATTTCAGCCAGAGTAAATTGACATCACTAACTCCTCATAGTACTATCCTTATAGTATGATCAAGAGTTTTTTGTATTAAGTTTATCAGAAGGTTCGAACTTGAGACCTCTAAATCAGTATGATCAAGAGACCTCAAACCCTTGCCAATCGAGCTGCCTCTTTGGGCTATATTAAGACTTTAATATTAATATATGATCAGATTATAAAGTTTGATAGAGAATGAAGGAGGAAGGAAGTCAGCCTTCTAGAATCGGTATTAGACAATGAACCTAACAAGTAACAACATCCATTGAACCTAAAATCATCAATAGTAATACAGCAAGACTTTTCTCTTCACAGGAGCCATCAAAATTGACTTACTATAAAGTCAAACAAAGACTAACCAGGTACATCGATCGCTGCTGCGTGGTATTTACGGAACTCCTCCTTCCCCTTGGGAGTTCTGTTCCCAATGGAAACACCATAATTTGATCCACGGGGATAGCCACCAACAAAGGCTTCTGGAAATACAACAATCTGAGCACCAAATCCAGCGGCTTCAGCCAACAACCTCTCGGCCTTATCTGTCCATGTAAACCAGAACTATTACATTTCTTTTCACCACCTCCAAAAAATAGAAAACACCCACATGATCATATGCTAAAACATTCGCAATCTACTTGTGAAAATCCCCAATTTCATTGATGGGTTTTGGTTAACTTGGCAGAAGAAGATCCAATTTGTAACTATACTAATGAAATGATCCAATTTGTACATATCTCATGCGGCTGTTCGAAGAGTATAAGGAGGAAATAGAAGTGGAAGTGAGGAAAAGGGAACCTAGAGTGGCAGGAGTGTCGTAGAAGATGGTGGAGGCCTGAACGACGGTGGCTCGGACGGTGGGTGCAGACGAATCGGTGGCCATGGCCACCTCCGCTATCAGTTGAGCATCGTTCGCCGCCGTGGTTGGCACCAGCGCCATGATTCTGATTCTGATTCTGATTCTGAAATCTCCTCTTTATGACATGTGGTTACTGTGTGTTCGATGGCTGCTATGCTATCAATCTCTTTCTCTAAGAACATAAATAGAGGAAATTCGTGGAAGTTACTCGAAATATATATAATATATACGGTTTGGTTGAAAGGGGGATGTTTTTAAAATAATACTAAAATTAATAGATGATTTGTGCCACCTCACAATTATTTTATTCTTTTTTTTTACATATGATCTCTCTGTAGGAAAAGTGATACAATAAAGATTTAAATTTATGACATCTAGATTAAAAAATAAATATTTAACAAATGTACCAAAGTGATAACATTGTACAATTTTGGCATAAGTCATTTTTTTAAGAGACAACGTACCAGAATAAAAAAAACAAAAAAACCACATGGTGCCAACAAGACGCAATGCAATTCAAAAATTGTGAAATGGCATAAGTCGAAGAGATGATCTATCATTTTCCAAGTATTATTCTTGGAAATAATTTGAGGTTGATATATATTTGGAATAAGTTTAAAATAAAACATTATTAAAAAGAAAATTCTTGATTTAAGCTATTGTCTAGGTATTTTAACTTTTATTTATTTTAGTATCTATTGTTTAAAAAATATGTGTTTATGTCGTCTTATGCTTCAAGGAGAGACTATTTTGGTTATTTAATTTTATTTTTATCACATTTCTCTACTTTATAATTTTAATACTTCTTCACTTTCTAATTTTTATAGAGTTTCTCTTGCACATAAAATTTGTGTTAAATTATTGCAAACAAAGATCAAAATAGGTAGTACATGAACCAAAATAAACAAAAACCGAAAATATAGAGACCAAAATCTAATTGCTAGTGATGATGGTATTGAGAGCAACATGAAATATGTTTGACATTTATATATTGATAGGACAGAAATGTAGAGGTATCAAATTTATAGAAATATCATAAAACATCAATATCCACAAATATTTCGAACTAATATATCATAAAACATTTTGTTTATGTGTCAAAATGACATAGTTTAGTGGTAATTGACATATATCTCAAACCAATAAGTGAATTCGACTCACCCCACATGTTGTACTAAAAAATATTTCTAAAAACTTTACAAATATTAAAAATTTTATAAAAAATATTTAATTAAATATTTTACCATTAATTTTTTTAATTCTTATTATTAATATTAGGGTGATATTTTCTTATGTATTTTTTCTTATCATGGAAAAGATTTGGCTCCGTGATGGTGAAGATTAGTTAAGAGACGATCAATCAACACGAAGAAATTAGTTTCTCTAAGTTTTCTTTAATTTTTATGATTTCACCATGGAACTTAACTTGAGATTTTTGTTGTTTATACTTAAACACAAGTAGTTAAATTTATTGCGTCTTAGATAGTTTTGTAGTGACTAAATATTATGAGTTCGATTAATTAATATTGTCTGGATGGATTTGTTTGTTATTCCATTTATGTATATATATATTTAATGTATTTAATATCTTGATCATAAATTAATTGCTTTTAAATTTGAATCTTACCTTGGAAGAGGTGGTTTAGATTGAAACTTTTTAAAATTGAAAGATTTAGAATTGCTTTAGAAGTTTACTCAGAGACTTTTACTTGTTAATTGAATTAGATAGGTATATTAATTTCTTAATTGACAATGAGAATTGATTGGGTATGACTTGTGACTTCTTATCTATAGAGTAATTGCTTATCTCGACTTTAATATCCATGATATTCAAGTAAACTAGAAACACAATCCAAATGTCAACATATATATTTACTTACTATCTACATTAAAATTTGACCCATTTGTGATAAACAATTTTTGCTACAAGTTTTTTACAAAGGCAAAAAAAAAAAAAAATGGAGGGCAACGTCGAGCGATAACAACAACAATAATGAGGGGAAGGGAAAAAGGGAGATCACGAAAAGGGAAAGGAGGTGATGCATGGGTAAAAGGGAAAGAGTTTTTATTTTTTATTTTATTATGTTTTTTAAGAGAGTATAGTATGTGAAGGTGAGGAATCGAACTCACAATCTCTAACGTTGAGCTATTTTTTTTATTAAACATGCCACATCTGCTATTTTTATTACTATACTAAGCATGCTACATTGTTTTTCTTTTAAGTTGGCTAACAAAATTTTGAACAAAACTATGTTTTTTTAAAGCTTTGGAAATAAAATTATAAGATTTTGAAATCATGGTTGAAGAAGGTAATTTATTCAATTTTTTTAATTGCCATTTTTAATACAATATATGTGAGTAAAGATTCGAACTCACGATCAAAATAGTTGCCTTTTCTAAGATGCAAAGTCCAATCAAACGTTTCATTGCTTTAGTTCCCAATACCACATTTAATTGTAGAATCTAAATGTCAAAGCGAGCATAGCTCAGTGGTAATGGACATATATCTCTAGAATCTAAGGGTGTGTTTGGTTGATAATCAGAAAACAGAAATTTAAAAACAAGCGATACAATGAAAACCAGAGTTATATTCTTTGTTTACATATATTTGGTAGTAGATTTGGAATTGTATTTCAATTTAAAAAATTGTTCAATGTATGTTTTAGTAATATTTGTAAACTAGAGGCAGTTACAAACTAAATATTTAATTTAATATAAAGTTATATTGATTAATTTATTATCATTTTTTAATGAATTTTGTATAATTATTATTTTACAATGTTATATAATCTATAATACATTATATTTTACATGTTTTAATTTTAACAAACATAAAATAAGTTTATAATAGGGAGTAATATATTTATTAAAACTTTTATCATTATTTTTAATGTAATTCTACCTTTTAGAAGTCGTTTTCAAAAAACAAATCTTCCAAATCCTACCAAACACGTTCACCATTTAATTGGTTAAGTTAATCTAGAAACATAATTCAAGTTTCCAACCAAACAAGGCCTAAAAAATTCTCGATCCATAGCTGCAGCTGAGTCGGTAAAACAAACTTTTTAAAATTACATGCATTAAAATGAACCTACGCGAAAAGTTTAGAAGTAAAATATTATTTTAATAATAAAAAGAAAAAAACAAAAAAGAAAAAGCTTGGGGAAAGAGGCACATTCTCAAGGTTGTGATTCCTAGGTAAAAGAAAAGTTAAAATAAAAAACTTGAATGCCCATAACTCAAGAACATGGGCATGAAAGGGCAACCAATGGAGTATCGACACCCTGCTGACCAACCTCCATGGATCAATCCAACACTCCACCGTTGTTGCGCCAACAGAGCCATCGATTTCCGCTCCAAAAGCTGTCCAAATGTGCTTGACATATACCTTCTTCCCCAACCCCCACGCGTCCTTCCTTCCCAGTGCCTCAGCAATCCCCCATTGTCATGCGACCAAAGCAACGAATTCTCCCGACCCTTTTCCTTTTCCCCACCGCAAAACAAAACCCACCAACAAGATACGAATTCGAATTCGAATTCTCTGATCTCTTGCTTTTCCCACTTTCCTCTGCTTCCCCTTTTGCCAAGCTGTTCGGTAATGGCTGCTGCCGAGAAAGGAATTTCCAGGGAGGTGCAGCTGTCGATGGCGGTTTCGTCCATGTTTCCCGGTTTTCGCTTCTCGCCGACCGATGAGGAGCTGATTTCCTTTTACCTGAAGAAGAAATTGGAGGGTTGCGAGAAGAGCGTCGAAGTCATTTCGGAGGTTGAAATTTACAAGTACGAACCCTGGGACCTACCCGGTCAGTGTTGCTTTAATAATGGTCTTTGATTCTTACTTCTGTCTCTGCAACTGAGCCCTAAGTGGAAAACCCTACATTGTATTTGGTATTAACTCTGGAAATGAATCATCTATGCTTATGCTTTTCTTTTCGTTTGGGCCTCTTCCGGCGTTTGATTGGGGCTATTTTTTTTTCCTTCTTTCTTTCATGTACATCAGTCAAGTCTGTAATTCAATCAGATAATGAATGGTTCTTCTTCTCTCCTCGTGGAAAAAAGTACCCAAATGGCAATCAGACGAGGAGAGCGACCGATTTAGGCTACTGGAAAGCCACAGGGAAAGAACGTAATGTAAAGTCAGGATCCAATGTTATTGGTACCAAGAGGACTCTGGTTTTCCATACTGGCCGTGCACCGAAAGGGGAGAGGACGGAGTGGATTATGCATGAATACAACACCAAGGATAAAGCTCAGGTAAGCTCTTTTATGTTGTTAACAGCAATTGCAATTGTTCCGTGTTCTTCGATACCAACTGGGGAAAAGGTTGATGGTTCTTAGAGAAATGATGTCATACGTTCAAAATTTCTCATTGAACTGATGGCTTGTTTGAGAAATTGTCTTGGACACAAATTTCTGTTCTTGTTTCTCAAAACCGTAGCAGGAAAAACAATATGATTACCTGTTTCTGCTGAATTAAAAAACAAGCTCTTTGCCTTTTTAACTAGGGTGAAATATGGTCATGTGGTGTCATCATGTTACTTCTTTGCATGGAGAAATTTGAAGAGGTTAAGGTTAACCACTTTGCTGCATATTTCCATGCTGGATAAATATGTCTTGTCTTGTCTTTTTGTGTGAATTTTTCTGTCTTCATCATTCACCTTGGATGCTGTACTAAGAATCTGTTGGGATATGATGAAAATTAAATATTGAGAAGCTTATCTACTACGGGAATAATCGCCTGAAGTAGTTCAAGTCAGCAAAGAGAGAGTGTGAGAACAATCCGATCATGATGTAAATAATACATATTTGAGGTTTAGGATTAGGTTGCATAGTGAATAAAATAGTACATGGTTGCTTCATATGTTAATCCTAAGCCTTGATGGTGAATAATTGGAGCTTTCATCCAGGGACTTTTGAGCTGCGAGTCAAACTGCTAGTACGTTCCATGAATTCTTGGTATAAATCAATCTTCTTCGAAAAAAGACAAGGGGTGATCTGTTTTGACCAGGAGTTGAAGTTGAACCATCTGGGTCAGTTTTCTTTTGGAGCACAGGACAAGGCAGATCTAAGAAAGCTAATATTAACGGCTGGAAACTATAAACGTAAATAGAGCTAAAGTTGCAGAAAACAATTATGGCTTTAATTCTACCAAACCAAGTGAACTTTAATGAAACTAAAATGTTTTGGCACTTGACCTTGATTGTAGTGCGTCATGGGGGAGTGAATAGAAAGAGAAACCCAAAAAGAAACCTTGAGAATTCATAATCCATTATGAAATCCAAATCTAGATCCGTAAAATAAATATAAAGCTGTGAGGTATCTCCTCACAATATTTTGGAATTCAAGAAAACAGAGCCCGAAGGCGATTACAGGTAACACCCCACCGATTCGAGAGGGTGGGTAGCTCTCCTTTACTCTATCACACTACAGACTTCGATAATCCTCCCCTCCCCTGCCACAGGCTATTTCTACTCTCCTAGGCCCACTTTCTCTCTCCAGGCCGTTATGCTGGCCGTTATGCTCGTGCCTCAATTATTCTCTTTCCCTAATACAATTCCCATCCTACCCCTCCTAGAATATGTTTTAGTTATCGGGGGTCTAACAACATCCCCCCCATTCAGAACCACCTTGTCCCCAAGGTGGAAATCAGGAAAGCGTAGTGCCATATCTGAAAAGGATTCCCACGTAGCATCTTCTGGTGGAAGGCCTTTCCAGCCGATGAGAGCTTCTTCTTCGCCTGTGGTATCGTTAATCCCTGTTGCGACGACTGCATCCGGAACAACAATCCACTCTAGGTCCTCAGTCAAGTAGGGAGGAATAGGCTGTGTCTCCACCAGTAGGCCTTTAGCCGGTTTCAACTTTGAAACATGAAATACTGGATGTATAGTGGCGGTATCGGGAAGATTTAAGCGGTAGGCCACCTTGCCTATGCGTTGAATGATCTCAAAGGGCCCAAAGAATTTAGCTGCCAATTTCTCATTCCTCTTTTTAGCTAGCGATTTCTGACGATAGGGACGGATTTTCAGGAATACTTGCTCTCCAACTGAAAATTCCCACTCAGTTCGCTTAGCATCGACATACTTTTTCATTCTCCCCTGTGCGCGAGCCAAATTCTCCTTGAGGAGGGCCAATGCTTGGTCTCTGTCTATCAGCTGGCGGTCAAGGGTGTCATTTGGTGTTCTGGACATCCCATAGCTAAGCAATGGAGGTGGTGTTCGGCCATAGACTACTTGGAAAGGAGTGGTTCCGAGTGAGGCATGAAAGGTGGTATTGTACCAATACTCTGCCCACGATAACCAATGGCTCCAGGTACGTGGTGACTCACTACAGAAGCAGCACAAGTAGGTTTCTAAGCATTTATTGACGATCTCTGTTTGCCCATCCGTTTGAGGATGGTAAGCTGTGCTGCGCTTAAGTTTAGTTCCTTGGATCCGGAACATTTCTGTCCAAAAATTACTGAGGAAGATCTTATCCCGATCAGAGATGATGGATTGGGGAAATCCATGGAGTCGGACGACTTCTTTAATAAAGGCTGCAGCAACTGTCTTGGCAGTGAAGGGGTGACTCAAGGGTATGAAATGAGCATATTTGCTCAAGCGATCCACTACCACAAATATGGAATAATTACCAACGGACTTGGGAAGCCCTTCGACGAAGTCCATGGTAATGTCTTCCCAAATTCGCTCAGGAATGGGTAACGGCTGCAATAACCCTGCTGGAGAAATAGCCAACGTCTTGTTTCTTTGGCACACATAGCATTCCGCTACATATTTCTTCGTGTCTGATTTCATACCTTGCCAATAGAGTTCCCCACAGAGTCGTTTATAGGTGCGGAGGAAACCCGAGTGTCCACCCATTACCGAGTTATGATACAGATGGAGGACTGCCGGTATAAGAGAAGATGTTTTGGATAAGACCAACCGGTTTTTATACCGCAGTTCCCCTTGCCACTGACTATACATTGGATGGCTGTCCGGATCCTGAATAAGTTCAGCGAGGATCTTGGTCAGTTGGGGGTTGTTTCGCACCTCTGTTTGAATCAGTTCCACATCCAACAGAGATGGAGTCATCATTACACCCAAATAAGGTCTCGATGGCATTCTAGATAAGGCATCAACTGCCTTGTTCTCGAGGCCCGGTTTGTACTGTATCTCAAAGTCATACCCTAACAATTTCGACACCCACCTTTGGTACTCAGGTTGTACTATTCGCTGCTCTAATAGGAACTTCAATGCTTGTTCGTCAGTTCGCACTATGAATCTTTGGCCCAGCAAATATGACCTCCACCTTTGGATTGCCAACACTACCGCCATGAGCTCTCTCTCATAGACTGATTTAGCTTGATTTTGTCTAGACAAGGTATGACTAAAGTAGGCAATTGGTCTGTGGTCTTGCATCAAGACTGCTCCTAAGCCTGTTCCCGACGCATCCGTCTCAATGATGAATGGCAGGTTGAAGTCCGGCAGAGCCAATACGGGTAGTGCGCATATGGCTCGTTTGAGCTTGTCAAAAGCATCCGTCGCTGCTTCACTCCATTCAAAGGCGTCTTTCTTTAGCAACTGAGTGAGGGGGGCAGCCAAGACTCCATAATTTAGGACAAACTTCCGGTAGTAACCTGTCAATCGAGGAAACCCCTCAATTCTCGAACGTTGGTAGGAAGAGGCCACTGCAGCATGGCCTGGATCTTGGTCTGATCCGCTTCAACTCCTTCCGCTGATATCCAATGCCCAAAATACTCTATCTTGGACTGGCCAAACTGACATTTTTTAAGATTAGCGCACATCGAATGATCTCGCAACATATTAAAGACCACAGTTAGATGTTGTATGTGTGAGTTCTCATCGGGACTGTATACCAGAATGTCATAAAAAAAAACAAGGACGAACTTACGTAAGAAGGGTCTAAATATGTGGTTCGTCAGAGACTGAAACGTCGCTGGGGCATTTGTGAGGCCGAAAGGCATTACAAGGAACTCGTAATGTCCCTCGTGAGTGCGGAAGGCCGTCTTAGGAACGTCGTCAGGTGCCATCCTGATCTGATGATAACCGGACTTTAGATCAATCTTAGAATAGATCTGCGAACCGTGTAGCTCGTCGATCAGCTCCTCGATGATCGGTATAGGGAATTTATCAGGAATGGTAGCTCGGTTCAATGCCCGGTAGTCCACGCAGAACCTCCAACTTCCATCTTTTTTCTTAACTAGGATTACTGGGCTCGAATAGGGACTAGTACTAGGTCGGGTGATCCCTTTCTGAAGCATGTCTGCAATCATGCTTTCTATCTCTGCCTTCTGAGTATGGGCGTATCGATATGGCCGAACATTTACCGGTGCCTCCCTTATTTTCAACTGTATCCGATGATCTATTTCACGTCGGGGGGGTAATGCTTGTGTGTCCTGGAATATATCAGCATATTCCCCCAACAATGCTTCAATTGCTCTTGGCCTTTCTTCCCTAAGTTCTCTCTGTTCGTTGTTCTATGGGTCACCTTGCATAGTCAGCGCACGAAGTTCTACTAGGAACCCCTGATCCGTGGATTTCCAGGCGCGGGCCATTCTTTTGAGGGATACTTCCATCCGGGTAAGAGAGGGATCCCCCTTAAGAACAATCCGTTTATTCCCCCACGTGAAAGTCATGGTAAGTGCCGGCCAATCAGCTTCCATTTTCCCCATGGCCTGTAGCCATTTCATTCCCAAAATAACGTCCAAATCGTTGAGCTCAATGGGAAGGAAATCCTCTATTACTGTTACTTCGGGTAATTCCATCACCACGCCACAGCATATCCCTTTCCCTTTAACAGCCACTCCTGTTCCGGCAATGGTGCCATAATTGAATGTCTCCGACTGGGGAATCTGGAGTTCATCTACCAACTTCTGTGCGATAAAATTGTGGGTCGCTCCACAATCGAGTAAGACCACCACTTCCCTACCCTGCAAAACTCCTTTCAATTTAATCATACCTGGGGTCGTTAACCTTACTACTGTGTTCAAACGACATATGACTGCCTTTCCCGTCTCTTCCACAGTCTCCTCGACCTCCTCAGGTCCATTCTCTTCATCTAACATCATTAGCTCTTCGTCGTGAACCATGAACACTCGCAATTGTTGGTTCTTGCAACGATGCCCCACGGTGTATTTTTCTTCGCAACTGAAACAAAGGCCCTTCTCTCTCCGCTTCCGATATTCTTCTTCCGTCAATCATTTATAGGTCGTCTCCCTCCTGGCCGCTGGTAACGTATTCGTGACTGTTGCCACTGCTCTCCCTGGCTTGCTCGCCAGTGTCACCGTTCGTGTGGGAGTAGTTTCGGGAGTTTTCGCCATTGACTTTACCCCTCCCATGTTGCTCTTCGTTGTGCGTTC